ACAAATCCTGCAGTACACTGTGTATAATGAGAGAAAAAAACTGAGACCGTGATTTTCGATTAAAACAGCGACTTTGCAGTGTTTTTTCATGTTTTTTATAGTTGTATTTGCGATTTCTTGGTCTCATTTGATAGAATGGAAGACATATTACAGAAATAGAGATGATTTTGATTGGTTTTAGCAGTGGAAATGGCTTGAAACTGAGCTCAAAGTAATGGAAATGTTAAATTTTTGCCGATGTTCAAGAGTAAACAAACGACCTCACACGTCTAATACACGCCAGTTGGTGGGTCTAATATACATTCACAAATGTGGTGATGATATTTATACAATTATTACAATATTGCATAACAGTAAATCTTCTATTTTTTGGTGTGAATAAAAATTCATTGTGAATAAAAAATCAAAATGGAATTCATTTATAAAGCCTCAAAATGTAACTAATGAACAGAGGAAATGTTAGTTTAGTGCCAGGAATACCTACATTGTTTATTCTGGACCCTATTTTGAAATTGGAATATTTTGAACTTTGTGTTAAATTGGCCAAATTACCAATTTCCAATCACTTTATTTTGTAGTTGAAACAGTTGACTTTGGGATTTCTTGTGCTCAATCGATAGAATAGAACTAACACTAGTGAAACAGCTAAGAATTTGGTCGACTGGAATAATGTAATTGGCCTAAATTGGGAGTCAAAGTAGGCAAAATCGCCAATTCGTAAATATCGCTGACACATCAAAATTCGCGAGAGCATAATTTCGTCAATTTTCCATCAAATTTAGTACTCTTTGTTTTATTACCTTCAGAAAAAGATTCTCTACCATTTCATAAGAAAAAATAACAATTGTTTTTTTTTAAATTCTTGGACACTGGTGCACCCTTTGAAATTTGGCCTCTGGACCCTGAAAGGGTTATTATTCAGCAGCTGTTCGTAGTTGGGGGCCATATTTCAGACAGGGCAGTATGTTACTCAAAAATGAAACACCATAAGAACATAATATTTACCCTATTAATTGTACTCATTACAAACTTCTTTCACATTGATTCAAGGGACAATAAAAAAATATACAATGCTTCATTCACCAATAACTGGTCATTAAAAGAAGAACCTTATGATCATGTTTCTGGTCTTCTTTTCTCATCTTAATGTGACTTGATAATTGTCTAGGATGGACTGAAATGTAGTCATAAGGTTCACCTCCTAATTGTGGGTTTTTGGTAAACTGTTCAAGTACTTTTGGTGAATTGTACAGTACTTTTATTTAAATTAGATATTCAGTAGGTAGTAGGTTGGTAGACAGCAACCACCCAGGGAAGTACTACCGTCCTGCCAGATGACTGTGAAACAGAAACATGAAACTGTTTTGTATGATGGTAGGATTGCTGGTTTCTTTTTCTGTCTCATAAACACGCTAGATAACAGGGATATCTTGCTACTCCTACTTACACTTTGGTCACACTTCACAGACACACACATGCATATATATATACATACATCTAGGTTTTTCCCCTTTTTCTAAATAGCTCTTGTTCTTCTTTATTTCTTCTATTGTCCATGGGGAAGTGGAAAAGAATCTTTCCTCCGTAAGCCATGCCTGTCGTATGAGGCGACTAAAATGCCGGGAGCAATGGGCTAGTAACCCCTTCTCCTGTAAACATTTACTAAAAAAGAGAAGAAGAAAAACTTTATAAAACTGGGATGCTTGAATGTGCGTGGATGTAGTGCGGATGACAAGAAACAGATGATTGCTGATGTTATGAATGAAAAGAAGTTGGATGTCCTGGCCCTAAGCGAAACAAAGTTGAAGGGGTAGGGGAGTTTCGGTGGGGGGAAATAAATGGGATTAAATTCTGGAGTATCTGAGAGAGTTAGAGCAAAGGAAGGGGTAGCAGTAATGTTGAATGATCAGTTATGGAAGGAGAAAAGAGAATATGAATGCGTAAATGCAAGAATTATGTGGATTAAAGTAAAGGTTGGATGCGAGAAGTGGGTCATAATAAGCGTGTATGCACCTGGAGAAGAGAGGAATGCAGAGGAGAGAGAGAGATTTTGGGAGATGTTAAGTGAATGTATAGGAGCCTTTGAACCAAGTGAGAGAGTAATTGTGGTAGGGGACCTGAATGCTAAAGTAGGAGAAACTTTAGAGAGGGTGTGGTAGGTAAGTTTGGGGTGCCAGGTGTAAATGATAATGGGAAGCCCTTTGATTGAACTTTTTATAGAAAGGGGTTTAGTTATAGGTAATACATATTTTAGAAAAAGAGGATAAATAAGTATACAAGATATGATGTAGGGCGAAATGACAGTAGTTTGTTGGATTATGTATTGGTAGATAAAAGACTGTTGAGTAGACTTCAGGATGTACATGTTTATAGAGGGGCCACAGATATATCAGATCACTTTTTAGTTGTAGCTACACTGAGAGTAAAAGGTAGATGGGATACAAGGAGAATAGAAGCATCAGGAAGAGAGAGGTGAATGTTTACAAACTAAAAGAGGAGGCAGTTAGGGAAAGATATAAACAGCTTTTGGAGGATAGATGGGCTAATGAGAGCATAGGCAATGGGGTCGAAGAGGTATGGGGTAGTTTAAAAATGTAGTGTTAGAGTGTTCAGCAGAAGTTTGTGGTTACAGGAAAGTGGGTGCGGGAGGGAAGAAGAGCGATTGGTGGAATGATGATGTAAAGAGAGTAGTAAGGGAGAAAAAGTTAGCATATGAGAAGTTTTTAACAAAGTAGAAGTGATGCAAGGAGGGAATGAGTATATGGAGAAAAAGAGAGAGGTTAAGAGAGTGGTGAAGCAATGTAAAAGAGAGCAAATGAGAGAGTGGGTGAGATGTTATCAACAAATTTTGTTGAAAATAAGAAAAAGTTTTGGAGTGAGATTAACAAGTTAAGGAAGCCTAGAGAACAAATGGATTTGTCAGTTAAAAATAGGAGAGGGGAGTTATTAAATGAAGAGTTGGAGGTATTGGGAAGATGGAGGGAATATTTTCAGGAATTGTTAAATGTTGATGAAGATGGGGAGGCTGTGATTTTGTGTATAGGGCAAGGAGGAATAACATCTTGTAGGAGTGAGGAAGAGCCAGTTGTGAGTGTGGGGGAAGTTCGTGAGGCGGTAGGTAAAATGAAAGGGGGTAAGGCAGCCGGGATTGATGGGATGAAGATAGAAATGTTAAAAGCAGGTGGGGATATAGTTTTGGAGTGGTTGGTGCAATTATCTAATAAATATATGGAAGAGGGTAAGGTACCTAGGGATTGGCAGAGAGCATGCATAGTTCCTTTGTATAAAGGCAAAGGGGACAAAAGAGAGTGCAAAAATTATAGGGGGATAAGTCTGTTGAGTATACCTGGTAAAGTGTATGGTAGAATTATTATTGAAAGAATTAAGAGTAAGACGGAGAATAGGATAGCAGATGAACAAGGAGGCTTTAGGAAAGGTAGGGGGTGTGTGGATCAGGTGTTTACAGTGAAACATAAGTGAACAGTATTTAGATAAGGCTAAAGAGGTCTTTGTGGCATTTATGGATTTGGAAAAGGCGTATGACAGGGTGGATAGGGGGGCAATGTGGCAGATGTTGCAGGTGTATGGTGTAGGAGGTAGGTTACTGAAAGCAGTGAAGAGTTTTTACGAGGATAGTGAGGCTCAAGTTAGAGTATGTAGGAAAGAGGGAAATTATTTCCCAGTAAAAGTAGGCCTTAGACAAGGATGTGTGATGTCACTGTGGTTGTTTAATATATTTATAGATGGGGTTGTGAGAGAAGTAAATGCGAGGGTCTTGACAAGAGACGTGGAGTTAAAAGATAAAGAATCACACATAAAGTGGGAGTTGTCACAGTTGCTCTTTGCTGATGACACTGTGCTCTTGGGAGATTCTGAAGAGAAGTTGCAGAGATTGGTGGATGAATTTGGTAGGGTGTGCAAAAGAAGAAAATTAAAAGTGAATACAGGAAAGAGTAAGGTTATGAGGATAACAAAAGGATTAGGTGATGAAAGACTGGATATCAGATTGGAGGGAGAGAGTATGGAGGAGGTGAATGTATTCAGATATTTGGGAGTGGACGTGTCAGCGGATGGGTCTATGAAGGATGAGGTGAATCATAGAATTGATGAGGGGAAAAGGGTGAGTGGTGCACTTAGGAGTCTGTGGAGACAAAGAACTTTGTCCTTGGAGGCAAAGAGGGGAATGTATGAGAGTATAGTTTTACCAACACTCTTATATGGGTGTGAAGCATGGGTGATGAATGTTGCAGCGAGGAGAAGGCTGGAGGCAGTGGAGATGTCATGTCTGAGGGCAATGTGTGGTGTGAATATAATGCAGAGAATTCGTAGTTTGGAAGTTAGGAGGAGGTGCGGGATTACCAAAACTGTTGTCCAGAGGGCTGAGGAAGGGTTCTTGAGGTGGTTCGGACATGTAGAGAGAATGGAGCGAGACAGAATGACTTCAAGAGTGTATCAGTCTGTAGTGGAAGGAAGGCGGGGTAGGGGTCGGCCTAGGAAAGGTTGGAGGGAGGGGGTAAAGGAGGTTTTGTGTGCGAGGGGCTTGGACTTCCAGCAGGCGTGCGTGAGCGTGTTTGATAGGAGTGAATGGAGACAAATGGTTTTTAATACTTGACGTGCTGTTGGAGTGTGAGCAAAGTAACATTTATGAAGGGGTTCAGGGAAACCGGCAGGCTGGACTTGAGTCCTGGAGATGGGAAGTACAGTGCCTGCACTCTGAAGGAGGGGTGTTAATGTTGCAGTTTAAAAACTGTAGTGTAAAGCACCCTTCTGGCAAGACAGTGATGGAGTGAATGATGGTGAAAGTTTTTCTTTTTTGGGCCACCCTGCCTTGGTGGGAATTGGCCAGTGTGATGATAAATAAAAAAATAAAAAAATTCAGTCCAATAAAGAAGATGACTTTAGATATTCAAAATATATATCTGCTGCAATCAAAATGCACTATCAAAAAAGATTTATATAGTTTAGCTCAAAATAAATAGCAACTGATCACATTAACTCACCACATCCCAAATAACAATTTCACCATCACTGCTTCCAGATGCCACTCTCATACCCTGTGGATCCCATGATAATGTTGACACTGCACCACGATGTCCTGAAAGAGCATGTGTGACCTGGTGAATAAGTCTAAGAACCAGTCAGATTCTACAATAGTAAACCTTCAACTTAACAGATATTGGATGGGGGGGAAGTAGTAGTGGTAGGCCAGCAATGCCAATTATGGTGACAGAGTTTGTTTAGCCATGACTGTAACACTCACAGAAAATGGTGGGTTGTCTGGCAAATTATTTAATAATAAAAAGCTGTCTAGGTCATGCAGTGCTGCTTTTGAAAGGGCTTGCATTATCTAAGGATTACAGAACTCAAATATTACTAAAGTAAACAACAAGAGTTACAACTGATGCAATGTTTGCATGGCAAACTGTTTGATAAACACTGCTATATACACCTACCATCCGACTTACGACCGAGTTCGGTTCCGAGAAACCAGTCGTAAGTCAAACTTTACTACTGAATATCAACAAAACATTTTTGTAATGACTTTATTTTATTGTTTTATTTTGGTATTTCATGTTTTACTTTACTTTTTATGCTGTAAGTAATGTATTTTATACTGTAAGGTTTAGGATAAACACTGTGTACAACACAAATAGTTGTTTATTTCCCAGAAATTTGGCATAAAAAACACGGTCGTAAGTCGAGTGGTCGTAAGTTGAGCAGGTCATAAGTCGGATGATAGGTGTACCTACAATACTCTATAACACAGCTGTTACTACTAGTGTCAGTTTGTTAGGATAATGGGTACATATATTTGCCCATGATGCTACAAAGTACAGATAGTACAGCACTTAACTGTGAAAGGATTTTTTTTTAACACATTGGCCGTCTCCCACCGAGGCAGGGTGAAAAGATTTATCCTCTTTAATTAAATCTAAATGAATTCTACTGTTATTTTGTCGAATGGCAATTTTACTACACTACCTATTCATCTTTTCTACTGAATGCCTTCCCATTGCATAAAAGTTAGGAACAGAGTAAGACTGATCATGATTGCAAATCATATTGCTGCAAGTGTCTAACATAATTAAAAAATTGTAATATAAATTTTCTTCTAAAAGGAAGTTAAGATTCAGGAGAAAAGCAAGGTTTCTTAGAAAGTCCTCATGGTAATGACAGGCATGGAGGTTGTTTCACTCCACCTCTATATAAGATAGAGTAATGTGGTGTAGATGATAGCCCTGTCTCACTTGCCCACTCTCTCATGTATGACAGTACGGTAAACACCTTTCATTAACAGACCTCTCATCAACGGACTGCAGCAATTTTGAACAAAAAATTGGTCAGAAAAATGTTCTAATTATCAGACAAAATGGATAAGTCTAAAATTCCAAATTCTGTCCATAGTGAATGTCCAGTTGTCTTCTGACACATCGGGCCAAGTCTAATAACTCCAATGTTAAGCCTTTCTCCAATGTTTGTCTGGTAAAGGCCAGAGCAGCTGCACCCAGGACCCAATATTTTGTTCAGTACAGGCCAAAGTGGCCACATCCAAGACCTGTCTGTTTTCATTTTGTTTCCTGAGCTGTAGGCCACTTGTGTTGATTTATTGTTTGTGCTCGCTCACACGTATGCTCATCATTCAGTCTCTAATTTTCCTCTGGATTCAGAGCTTTTTATATGATTTTAATAACATATTAGGTTGGGATGCTTGAATGTGCATGGATGTAGTGTGGATGATAAGAAAGAGATGATTGCTGATGTTATGAATGGAAAGAAGTTGGATGTCCTGGCCCTAAGCAAAACAAAGCTGAAGGAGGTAGGCAAGTTTCAGTGGGGAGAAATAAATGGGATTAAGTCAGGAGTATCTGAGAGAGTTAGAGCTAAGGAAGGGGTAGCAATAATGTTGAAGGACAAGTTATGGAAGGAGAAGAGGGAATATAAATGTGCAAATTCAAGGATTATGTGGATTAACCCTTTCAGGGTCCGTGTCGTAGTTCTACGGCTTTATGTTCAGGGTCCAAACCATAGGTCTACGACATGAGCTCAGTTCACTCTAAGCTGTGAGCAGTAAATTTGGGCCTAGATATGAGAGAATACATCTATGTGGTATGTGTGCACCACATAAAACAAATCCTGCAGTACACAATGCATAATGAGAGAGAAAAAAAACCGAGACCGTAATTTTTTATTAAAACAGCGACTTTGCCGTGTTTTTCCCTATGTTTTTTATAGTTGTATTTGCAATTTCTTGGTCTCATTGATAGAATGGAAGATATACTACAGAAATAGATTTTGATTGGTTTTTAGTACTGGAAATGGCTTGAAACTGAGCTCAAAGTAGCAGAAATGTTAAATTTTTGCCGATGTTCAAGAGTAAACAAATGACCTCACAAGTCTAATACATGACAGCTGGTGGGTCTAATATACATTCACAAATGTGGTGATATTATTTATACAATTATTACAGTATTGCATAACAGCAAATCTTCTATTTTTTGGTTTGAATAAAAATTCATTATATAAATAAAAAATCAAAATGGAATTCATTTGTAAAGCCTGAAAACGTAACTAATAAACAGAGGAAATGTTAATTTAGTGCCAGGAATGCCTGCATTGCTTATTCTGGACCCTATTTTGAAATTTGAATATTTTGAACTTTGTATTAAATTGGCCAAATTACCAATTTCCAGCCACTTTATTTTGTAGTTGAAACAGTTGACTTGGTGATTTCTTGTGCTCAATCGATAGAATACAAGTAATACTAGTGGAATCGCTAAGAATTTGGTTGACTGAAATGCTGTAATTGGCCTAAAATGGGAGTCAAAGTCGGCAAAATTGCCAATGCGTAAATATCGCCAACACATCAAAATTTGCGAGGGCAAAATTTCGTCAATTTTCCATCAAATTTCGTACTTTTTGTTTTATTACCTTCAGAAAAAGATTCTCTACCATTTCATAAGACAAAAACAACAAAATTATTTTTTGAAAATTCTTGGACCCTGGTGCACACTTTGAAATTTGGCCTCTGGACCCTGAAAGGGTTAAAATAAAGGTCAAATGTGAAAAGTGGGTCATAATAAGTATGTATGCACCTGGAGAAGAGAGGAGTGTAAAGAAGAGAGATTTTGGGAGATGTTAAGTGAATGTATAGGAACCTTTGAACCAAGTGAGAGAGTAATTGTGGTAGGGGACCTAAATGCTAAAGTAGGAGAAACTTTTAGAGAGGGTGTGGTAGGTAAGTTTGGGGTGCCAGGTGTAAATGATAATGGGAGCCCTTTGATTGAACTGTGTATAGAAAGGGGTTTAGTTATAGGTAATACATATTTTAAGAAAAAGAGGATAAATAAGTATATAAGATATGATGTAGGGTGTAATGACAGGAGTTTGTTAGACTATGCATTGGTAGATAAAAGACTGTTGAGTAGACTTCAGGATGTAAATGTTTATAGAGGGGCCAGAGATATATCAGATCATTTTCCAGTTGTAGCTACAGTGAGGGTAAAAAGTTGATGTGATACAAGGAAAATAGAAGCAGGAAGTAAGAGAGAGGTGAAGGTGTATAAACTAAAAGAGGAGACAGTTAGGTTAAGATATGAACAACTATTGGAGGATAGATGGGCTAATGAGAGAATAGGCAATGGGGTCAAAGATGTATGGGGTAGGTAGTGTAGTGTTAGAGTGTTCAGCAGAAGTTTGTGGTTACAGGAAAGTAGGTGTGGGAGGGAAGAAGAATGACTGGTGGAATGATGATGTAAGGGAGAAAAAGTTAGCATATGAGAAGTTTTTACAAAGTAGAAGTGATGCAAGGAAGGAAGAGTATATGGAGAGAAAAAGAGGTTAAGAGAGTGGCGAAGCAATCTAAAAAGAGAGCAAATGAGAGTGGGTGAGATATTATCAACAAATTTTGTTGAAAATAAGAAAAAGTTTTGGAGTGAGATTAATAAGTTGAGGAAGCCTAGGGAACAAATGGATTTGACAGTTAAAAATAGGAGAGTTATTAAATAGAGAGTTAGAGGTATCGGGAAGATGAAGGGAATATTTTGAGGAATTGTTAAATGTTGATGAAGATAGGGAAGCTGTGATTTCGTGTATAGGGCAAGGAGGAATAACATCTTGTAGGAGTGAGGAAGAACCAGTTGTGAGTGTGGGGGAAGTTTGTGAGGCAGTGGGTAGAATGAAAGGGGGTAAAGGCAGCTGGGACTGATGGGATAAAGAAATGTTATAAGCAGGTGGGGATAAAGTTTTGGAGTGGTTGGTGCTATTATTTAACCCTTTGACTGTCGCAGGCCCCTTTCTGACACTGTCATTCTATGTTGATAAACTTTTGGAAAAAAAAAAATTTCTCGTGAAATAGATAATCTTTTCCCGATGGTAATGACACCAAAAGTACGAAATTTGGTCGAAAACTCATGGAATTGCGCTCCTGCGAAGTTAGCAGTCTCAGCGACATATAAGCATTGGCGATTTCGCCGACTTTGAGCCTTGTTTTTGGCCAATTCCGTTGTTCCAGCTGACCAAACTCATAGCTATTTCTTTAGAACTCCATTTTTTCTATCAGCTCAGTACAAGTAACTGCCCATTTACTGATTTGAACTACCAAATAAAGTGGTCAGAAATTGGCAATTTGGCCAATTTCACACAAATTAAAAAAGATGCCAATTTCAAAATAGGGTCCAGAATAAACAACGTAGACATTCTCGGCACTAAAATAACATATCCTCTGTTCATCAGTCACGTCTGTAGGCCCCTTTTACATTATTATTGCTTTCTATTTTGATTTTTTATTCATACAAAAAAATACAAAAATTTACTGTTATGCAGACTCCTGCATTATTGTAAAAATGGTATAAATAACATCAGTGTACTAGTGAAAGAATATTAGACTCCCCAGTTGAAGTGTATTGGACGTGTGGTGTGATTTGCTTACTCCTGAACATTGGTAAAAATCGAACATTTCCGCTACTTTGAGCTCAATTTCAAGGTCGTTTTCATCATGAAAGTAATCAAAATCATCTCTATTTCTGTAATACATTTTCCATTTTATCACCTGAGACTATGAAAACGAAAATACAACGATAAATACTATACAAAAAT